ACCCCATTGTCATTAGTTAATCAGTAAAATGTTAAACAAGCATGGTCATGCTGCTTATGGTTACATTTCACAGTCGATTTCAGCGCCGGTTAAAGAATTCAGGCAGAAAGTGTGGGAACTGAGTAGAGCACCCTCACATTTCATGTTCGTTGCATGAAAACATTTTATCCTGACATCTCATTTGCCTGTTTTTAATGTGAAATAAAGAACAGTTTTAAGATATGAGCTCAGATTTCCTAAATTAAATTTTCTGGTGACTACATATTTGTTTTTTAAGTTTTGATAAGATATGAAGGAAAGAGGACAATGGTTTGTAAGTAAAAGAATATTAACACAATATAGATAGTTGATGGAGACAAGTTTCATGGACTCTTTTGCCAGTTTTGACAGAAAGATAAAGGCAGAGGAACCCACAACAGAAAAGAATATGAACACATCTACTTATGGATGATGGAATTGGACAGAATGTGGCCTCATGGTACAAACAAGCATCTTTGCACAGAGGTCTCCAATCATCACATATACTAGATTGAACAAATTTGCAGAAACTACCAGGACATTAGCGGCAGTTCAAACAAACTTAACATTTCAAATTTGAAAGAATACCATATCAATTTCAATATAAACTTATGTTCATGGGAGTTGGACAGGAAAAATAAAAAGGTGATCTCCAGGTGATTGACGTCAAGCCCTTGCATCAGTTGTACTGTCTGCATTTGGGCAGAGACTCACTCAGGTTCATTCCCAGCCATGCTACGTACACCCCCACACTGGACTGGAGTCCCTTGTCAACAATACAATTTGCAGTAGCACTAAATGAACTCAAGTTTTTGTGAATATTTTGACTTAGGAGACTTACCTCTTTTATCAAGGATGCCACCTGAAGAGCAGTGAGAGGAGTTTGCTCTGCTGGTTTGACAATCACAGTGTTTCCACAGCTCAGGGCAGGTGCTATCTTCATAATAAGTGTGATCAATGGGAAATTCCACTAAAAAGCATCACATAATAGTAGATTCTTTATGTTGCTGAAAAGCATATTTTCATATCTAACTTCTACATTCTAACTTTTGCAGATATTAAATAATAATTGTAGTAGTTTTATGTAACTGGCTGGTATATTCTATTTAACTCCATTTTCAAAAGCCATTAGAAATGCCAGGTATGGTGGCTCATGACTGTAATCCTAGCACAGCGGGAGGCCAAGACAGGTGGATTGCCTGAATTCACTGGTTTGAGACCAGCCTGAGTCAGAGAGAGACCTCATCTCTAAAAATAGGCGGGCATTGTGGCAGGCACCTGTAGTCCCAGCTACTTTGGAGGCTGAGGCAAGAGAATTGCTATTGCTTGAGCCCAAGAGTCTAAGGTTGCTGTGAGCTATGACACCACAGCACTCTATCAAGGGCAACAAAGTGAGACTCTGTCTCAAAAAAAAAAAAAGGCAATTAGAAAATGCTAAAACGCTCTAAATAAACCAGTAGGAAGAGAGTAGGAGAGAACTCCAAAATTCAATCACACACTCCCATTTGAGTTCTTCTTCTACCAGGAAGGTAAAAGTCACTATATAGATTGGCTTCCCATTAAGTATATTGTAAGTTATCTGTAAGTGTTTAAAATGTGTGAATATTCCTCCTATTCTATAGGTCATTTATTGCTATTATTTACAAAGTAGTGTCATTTTGTAGCATTTATTTCTAGGACAAATAATCTTGTTAAGAACAAAGAAACACTGGGTCTAGAGGCCAACTATTTGGGCTCAAACCACTGCTTAATCACTAGCAGCCATGGGACCTATATAAGTTACTTGCTCTGTATGTACGATTTCATCATCTTTAAGTGCTGACAATGGTCCCCTCTACCTCAGATGGTTGTCCTGAGGATTAATCAAGAAAGTAGGCCAAGAGCTTAACACAGTGACTGGTTTATGATAGGCACAAAGTATATGTTATCTATTATCAATATTTACAATTACGTAGTTTTATAGGTATTATTGGCCTTTTTAATTAATGAAAAATTTCATTAAAATGTTGATATGGATACATTTCAATCTCATTGAAATGAAAGATAAATCATAGCCAATTCTTCATCTAAGAACTTCAAGATACTTTGCCATCTTTTTATTCGGCTTTTGAAAGTAAGTCAGTTGAAGTGACATCATTTAGATAGCGTCCTGTCTGTTAAGCTTAAAAGGAAATCTTCACAATTCCACTTAAAAGTATTATCTTCTCTAAAAAGAATGTGGAGGCTCAGAACCTCTTACTTTAAGGCACAATGTATTCCATACAATTCTATGCTCTACAGGCCTCTGGTCTTGTTTCTTCCATTTTAATTTAAAAATATCTTTAGATTATCATTTAATGATTTAAATATAATTATAACACTCTGCTTGTTTCTATGTTCATGATAGAAAGCCTCAATGAGGAGATAGTGTTGGAGACTAGTGGACCCTACTACATTTCACTGAGATGAGAAATGGTGACCCACAGCACATGTGCCAGTGGTGAGCACTTTGCCATATACGTGGCTCTTAAAAAGAGGACATAATATTTTTTAAAAACAACCTATATGGTAAAAGGTTAAGATCTGTTGATTCCATAGTACTGAAATGCCCTCAAGAGACATTCTAGGGTAAAGACAGGGTTTTGGACTACCTAATTCATATCTAAGATGCGTAGTCACCAGGAGACCGAGTTCAACAAATCCTACATGTACTCCACATTGAAGAAATGTATTAGAATCCATTGGTATTAGAGGAAGCTTCATTACTAAATCCAATAGAATTAGAACTTTCTTTCAAAAACTAGAATTATATAGAAGAACAACTTACAGGATTGATTTGGCCACAGACACCAATAGGTTCATGTCTTGTGTAAGTAAAAACATTTCCATCTAGAAAGTGAAACAGAAACACACACTGATATAAATACATGAACGTATTTGACATTCACAGAGTGGTAGTTTGGGGCTGATGGGGAGAATAGTGTAGACAATAATTAAAAAGTAAAACATATCTCCAACTGTTTGCAAAAATGGAGCCCTCAAATTGTAATTCGGAATTATAGGGACCATAAAATGGAATTAGATGAAAGCAAAATGAAAAATTGGAAAAGATATGAAAGATAATTAATTTTATCCCTCATCAGCTTAGAGGGCTGATTTCTCAATCATCTTGTTCTCCACATTTTTTTAAAAAGGAATAAGAAAAGAAGTAGGAGGTCCCTAGCTAATAGAAAAATTACATTCAATTATGTTTCTGTTAGCTCAAAGTTCTAGAGTAATGGTAAATTTTCAAAGTACTATACAAAATTTTAAAAACTAATTTTAAAATTTAAAATAAATCTCCCAATGATTAATAATCTTTTTCTATTCGCCTGTTCTAACATATTTTCTATTTGCCTATAAAACAATAAAAGTAAATTCTCTTCATCCATGAAAAAAATGACCAAAATAAAAGACATTTATTTTTGATCCAGATTTCTTTTTGACTGATTCGTGTTTGTCAAAGTTTGATGTGGTTATCCCAAGAGTTACATTGTGCTTTGTGTTCAATTCTGTTTTAGTTTCCACAGAAGCCTCCTGGCTTCAGCCAGAATTCTCTCTATTGAAATTTATTTACACTTTACATAACTTCTACTATTTTGTCCCAGCATAAAGTGAGACAATTATTAATGGTCATGTTTCTTTAAAAAAAAAAAAGTCATGTTTCTTGGTACCACCAAGAGGAGTTATATTTCTCCTCTTAATTCCCTGGCTGTCACTTCAGACCTATTGGATGTTGCAAGTATTTAGAAAATGTACATCAGGGTAAGGTTAGAGGGTGTTGTATTCCTAAAGGCATAGGTTTACATGAATTCAATTCTACCAGGAGTGTTTCCCAAAGTGACACTTTTTCACATTTCATATGAAGTGTTTTTCATATTTCTATTCCATTAGGTACACGCTCTACTACATACATGTTCATACACACGAGTCCCTAACTCAGGCTGCAAACATAGCACCAGTTTGCTCTGAAGCTATTTGAAACAAATCAGTGTGCATTAGTTAGTTTAATTCACGTGGCCTGACTCTACTGAGCTTGACCAGGTAAGAGATGACCATAACTGATGCATATGGGAACATGAAAAGAGGCATAAATCATTACATTACAGAAAGGGTAAAAATGTCACTATTAGAATAAAACCCAAATCAATAATTCCAGAAACCAGCTTTTAAAATTTTAGGTCCTTACAGAGATAATTGCCTACCATGAGTAATTATGGTTGTAACAATTTTGTTACTTTAATATTTTCAAAGATATCAATAGTGTTATGTTCTACATAATTATACTAAAACAACTTTAAAAGCCATTTATTTGGTGGACCTCATATCCAAGGTTAATTGGGTCTGAGTCTTCCTGGTAGCAAAAATATACAGAGATAGATAGATAGATAGATAGATGCCATCTGATGTACCCTAACAGAACTTTCAGGTTTAGAACTCTGTTTCCTCAAAGTCTAGAGGAAAATAACATTGTCTTATTTGATTGACATTTTAAAAAGGGAGAGTTAAAAATACTCAGCTCTATAGTAACCTCCTCACTGGTACTCCCACCCCCAGTGGTTTCCCAGAGGTACCTACCCGCTGGTATCGTCCGGCCCTGGATCTTGTCAGCCCAGCCTGCGCAGTAGCGTAAAGCTTTCACACCGACTTCTACATCCATGAGATAGGCACTGGAAAATAGTTTTCCACCATTTAGTGCCTCCATTGTCTGAAAAAGAGAACAAATCCCAAATCTAAAATTGAATCAAAGTTTTATATTAAAAATATATATATAGCCAATGTTTTGAATAATCATGTGCTAGAGAATTTTGCAAATAGAAGAAATCTTAAGTCATCTTGTCTGATAGCCTCTTTCTAAAAAGGAGAGTAAAAAAAGTTATAAGTGACTTTCTTGAGGTCAAATAGCAAGATTTGGGTACAAAAGGTGGTAAGATACTGGTTACTAAAGACTAGTGATCTTTAGATCTCACTTTGAATGTCTCCCAGCTAACAAACTTTCTAGGAATCGATCACTATTTAATATCTGCACATCAAGGAACGAGGCCACCTAATCTTAGTCAGATCTGAGCTGAGCTGTCCTGCCTCTGTATTTTACTGTCTACCATCTCTAAATTTAGTCAAACATAAGTTTTGTCGGATTGTACTTAACCTCCCATGGGATCTTATGCTAACAGGCAACAAGCAGATCAGATAAATGAGAGGAGCCAAGTTTAAGCAAACCCTGCTGTCTTCCTACAGGACATTTTGGTTAATACAGCTTTATTGCACACAGCCTCTGGTGCCACAGTTTTGCATATTTTGAACTATGCTAAATCATCAATGAGTAATAAATGGTTCTTTAACAACGGTTGCTGATATTAATCTTTTTTAAAAGTAGGCTGCTTTGTTACTGCCACTTTCAGATAATAAAGGTAATACAGATTTACTGTGGAACCTGATCTTGGTATTGGTTTGTGTTAAATTGGCTTCAGTGTTGCCCAACTGAGAAGACAAAAACAAAAATAAACCTTTACCAAGGATATTATACACTGACTCACCCATCTGCTAAAATATAAACAAAAAAGAAACTATTTTTATAAACACATCAATCATTAGATTTTTTTTTTTGTCTTTAATCTTTGCCTTTTTCACCTATAAAAAGAACATGATTTAATTATGACAATTGTGAACAGACATTTCAGGAACGGGAAAAGTAGCCATTTATTAAATCTCTTGGTGGGCTAGACTAAAGAGGAATAGGATTTATTTTAGAGAACTATTTTGGGCACCTAGAACACATGATGAGTTTTTCAACTAAAAGGATTAAGTTAGTAGTCCAGGACTTTCAGAAATCCACTGCACCATTCCAGGAGATTCAAACTGCATGCGGCCCTGTTCAGGGCTTTGAGAAGAAGTTCTCAGGTAAAGGAAAGCAATTTCTTTAATTTAGTTTAACTTGGGGTTTGCCAAAGTTCAGACTGTAGAACCTATTAGGGCAGCAGAAATTCACATCACCTAGAAGTGGAGTAGAGATTACTATTGGACAATGGACTCAGAGGTTAAGAGTCACACACCAGAGCTGGGAGACAAAATCTATCTCTCTGTAAAGAGCACATGGTGATCACTAAAACTAAAACGGCCTGCCAATAAAAATAACGAGTGCTTTCAAGAGCTCTATCTGCCTGTCCCGTTGGGTTAATACTCACCGCCAGCAGCAGACGGTCTCTCTCGATCAAATCAGCCAATTTGTACAACAGTCGCCCCCTCTCGGAAGCGTCCATGGTGCGCCATGGGGAGCCGATCTGGAAAGCCTGTCTTGCGGCCTTCACTGCTTTGTCGACATCCTCCTGTAATCAAAGGGAATTTAATTCAGTAGGCTGAACACACCAGATCTGCAAATCCACGGGCTGTAACCCAGGGCAGCAGACTGAGGCTCCCTGTAAGCGGCCACCGTGTCTCTGTAGCCTGAAGTCCAGCTCGCTGTGCGCACTCGCTGCGCTGGAGTTCGCGGGTTGAACAAAGCTTTAGAATGACGAGCTCCACACATCTACCCTAAGCTTGATTTTCTAGAATGTAAACCCTATAGTAACAGCTGCTATTGTTTACATGCATGCCCTATTTCAAGCAATGTTCTAATTTAGCTCACTTAATTCTCAGTTGTTTCATGGGACAAGCATGTTCCCCATTTACAGATGAAGAAACTAAAGCAAAGAGGGAGGAGCTTTGCCCAAGGTTAATAACGAAAAGTTAGTCTCACTGCAGAGCCGCGGCTCTTCCCCGCACATCACACCCCTGGTGACTGGGTTTCAGCAGTTCCAGGCTAAGCCCAAGATCCAAAGTAGTGAACATCCTCTTTGATGTCTGTTGACTCTACAGACTGTGCCTTCCCACAAAGGGCTTGTTAAAGGGTGAATCAGAACTTTCCTTTCCTCTCGGAGAGACACGTTAAAAACAGGTGCTCATTCCTTTCGTGCACAGGGAAAGAGGCGGTGGACCTGGCATCCAGAAGGCTCTGCATGTGACAGCCCCTCCTTTCCCTTCTGGGTAACAAGAGATCTTTTTAATCACTAAATAAGTAAAGAAGTCATTTTCTGATTTTTAATAATGCATTGCTGAAAACTACATTTATCCTGGCAGCAGTTCCTCCACACCTGTCTGCCTCCTTGATCCCACTCTCATAGACCTTTCTTCTTTCCTTGCTCTTTCTTCTCCCCTATGTTTTCTGCCCCTCTGGTTCCTTCCTTGCCCTCCTCAGTCACTAACTTTGCCCTGGCCACTCCATTCCCCTGCAGATCTGACCTCTTCTGAGCTCCCACAGATTTACATATTGTAAGGAGCACCACCTCCCTCTTTCATTACTTTTTCATATGTCCATTTATTTTCCATCAAATTAGTTGTCAGTGCCTTAAAGACACAGGTCACTTCACTGTGATTTTGT